CAAGTTGTGGAATCTAAAAACTGTTAGTATATTTTCCCAGAACTGCTGTGAACAGCGAGATATACCAAGAGGCAGAGAAAGGCAGCCATGCTAATGCTGCCGAGTATCTCGGATGCGTCGTCCCGCGAGATAGGCCTCTGCGATAGTGACGCAGGCCGTTCCAAATTGACCGCGGCCATGGTGAAGAACGAGAGGCGCTAAGTCAAGTTGTCAGACCAAAGAATACATTGGTATACATCGAAGCAAGTAGCAAACCCACCAAGAAAATATCAACCCCAAGAGAGACAAGTTTGCAGAGTGTCGCGAGCAGCAGCAGGGCGCATAGTTATCCATGACGATAACAAAACTGTTCCGTTATCTTCCGCTGAGTCATCTCGTGTGACTGTGTTCAGACGGCGGCGCTTTGAGCGGTCATCGGCATGCGGGTAACTCGGTTAGGCTTTCTGCGCTTTTAGTGGGCGCGTAGTTGGTCACAGGGTCCAAATAGCGGTGTCTCATGCGCTTATCCTCTGCGCCCGACAACTATTGAAGGTCTTTATTGATGGGGCCATGTCGGATTTTGCTTCTCGAAACAAGCGAAAATAGGCAGTTGGCTTTCCAACCTACCTAGTAAACGAACGTGTCTTTGGGCTGCTTCTCAGCTTGCTAAGTAAATTGCGTATTTGAGAACTTAGTTGCCAAATTTGTAGAAGACTGAGAGGTAGCATATGAGTCGCTGAGTGAGGTGTCACATGCATGGTGTATACAAAGGATCCGCCACAGGGGGTGGGATAGACGACTAGGAGCTCAAAGTGGAGAGACCAAGCGTACCAGACTCTTGGTAACGACCTAGTTCCAAGGATAAGTCGTCCCCCGAGCTCTTCTAGCTTGAACCTCCGCTTCAGATTGATCGTATAATTCATAGTATTGGGACAGAAGTTCTGTCAATTTCCCCGTGGTCTCGGATACTGCAAGATCCATAGTTCTAGCGCGACCACTTTCAGCGTAGTTATCTCCCTTATCCTGCAGGCTGGTGGCGAGCTGTAACACCTTCTCGGGCGAGTCTTTCCAATAAGACTATCGTGATTGTGGGTCAGTTTAAGCTTCCATTATCAACATAATACAACAATGTCTGACTCTGGGAACTTCAGAAACTCACATCTGCTTGCAACGCAATGAATGGTGCTGCCCTGACCAGCTCCCAATCTTTCCTTGGTCTGTAAGATGTTGTGGAAATGCCATGGGCCTGGCAGAGCAAATCTCTAGCCCTAGCTTCTTCTTTTTCAGACCCAAGAGGGGCGTTAAGAAATTCTTCATATATGTTGCTGAATTTCCTGTCGTTGGCTAGATGAATTGCCTCACCTAGAGCTCTCTGGGTGTCTGCCAATGGCACCTGCTCCCAAGCAAACTCAGAGATCGCCACATCAAATCTCTTTACGGTAACTCCAGCTTCGGCGCCTGCCTTGCGTCGCAAGATGTCCTTGATGACCATATGTCCTGTCAGCTGCATAGAGCACTACGTGTATGTTAGGGATGGAGATAGACTTGACCAACTTTGAGCTCACGATGCTGATCATCGAAAACGTCTCTCTGTTCCTTACTGAAGTCATGCACAGCCATTTCGGCAAATTTCTGCTAATGCAAAAGCTGTCGAGGGCTGAATTGCCTGTAGATCAACAAGGTCTAATTGATGTATTGAAACCCAAAAGTATTTTATTCAAGAATGAGAAATGCCACAAACGCCACAAGCGGGGAAGTGAGACCTTATGAGCTCAAGTGTTATTGTTTGAAGCTAGTTCTCGACTGAGCCATCGCTCAAGGCACTATGACGTACTATGCACTGACATGATCGTATTTTGCGGCATGGATGTTCCGCGAAAGGTAGGCACAAAGCATCGAATGACTGCTTTTGTGCTGTTTCTCGGAGACCGCCCTCCCCACGCACATCAGGGACACAGGCTGGCGTCAAGCTGAGTACGGTTGCCGCAACGAGCACTCGATGGAGTATTGCAAATTCATGACAGTCGGCGATCCAGATATAGAAACATTTGGTAGGATTTGGGTATCGAGACTCAATTACTGCGTAAAGCTAAACATTGCCTGAGAGACTAGGATAACAAGGTGACATCTCCAACTACGGGTCTGTGGTCGCTGATGAGCATGCCATTGACCAGGTTGTTCTGGATCTCGTATCGCTGGACCGAGTACTTCTTCGCGTCTTTAGGCCCAAGCCAGACAAAGTCGATGCGGCTTCCCTGCTTGGTCGTATCGAAGGTTGTGTACGTCAACTGATTGGGGCCGATGCGCTGTTCAGGCGTAGCCATGTTATACAACTCCTCCATGAAACCGGTTCCTGTCAACGCTTTATACCCATCACCGTTGGGGTCAGAGTTGAAGTCGCCGGTAAGCGAAACACCCAAGGGACCGTATGTTGTCTGCACAGCTTGAATCTTGGACACAGCGACCTTGATTCCCTCGCTTCGAGCCTGGGAGCTGACATTATCCAAGTGCGTATTGGCGTGGATGAACTTCTTTCCGCTAGCAGTATGCTCGAAGACAGCAATGGTGACGATGCGCTTACTGCCGGCCCCCCAGCCAGACGAGACAGTGTCGGGTGTCGGCGAGAGCCACTTTGTCTCTTCGTGGAGCAGCTTGAGCGCGTCGGTGCGATAGAAGATGGGGTTGTACTCGCCGCTCTTCTTGCCGTCGTCGCGGGCGACGCCGACATGGGCCCAGCCGGAGCCTAGTCCGTCCTGGATGTCGTTGAGCTGGTTATCGAGTACCTCTTGTAGGCCGATGACGGTGACGGCGCCCGTCGGTGCATTGGTGCCTATACTCTTGATTGCGTCGATGACATGGGGCTGGCGGCAGCGGTCCTTGGAGATTCCGCAGAGGAGATCCCACCAGGGCTTTTCGCCGGATTCGCGTGAACCGGCGTCGTATCGAATGTTGAAAGAGGCAACACGAATGGGGAGACCCTGAGCCAGAGCTAATCTCGCCAGGAAAATGGGTGCGAGAATGGTCTTGATCTGCATCTTGAAGCAAGAAACGAATGACTGGGGTAAGAGCAACAAGACTCAGTGCTGATCACAAATCTCGAACCACAACACCTACTACTGCCTCTTATATACTTCAATGATGTTTCCCTGTCCATCGCGAGAAAGACGACCGAAGCTGCGAAGCACAGCCCAATAAGGCAGTTGAATACAGGATTGACAGGGGTCCCCTCCAAGACGTTAACGTCCCGCGGGGTGCAGTGCCCCTCGCGAACGCCAAATCAACACGTGGGTAGCATCCACGCTGAATTTGATCTTGAGACGCGGATAATTATGCGAATAAGGATCAATAGCCGCTGCTTGCCCAGAGGCGCGATGTCATATTGGGCGGGATCTGCCAGATACATGCCCCTCCCTTGCAAAGAGAGGGGTCGCAAGTAACCTTAATGGCAAGCCTATTAAGAGCCAAGCCACACGGCCTCCCACGCCAGTCTGGTATTGACAGTGGCCGTCTCAGAGTCTTCTTTTTAAAGAGCGCCGAAAGTGGAAATAGACGCCTACAAGAAAAGACCGGACGAATTACCGCGCTAGCAATACAGGACTCATTACATAAACCTCGACTAAGTAGAACATTCCCTAGTTGTACTCCGTGGCCGGTTTTGCCTACAGTGGTGGCCTTCCTCTCATCTGTCCACTCGGTATTACCGCCCGTACCGTATATGCAAGGTATTGTTCTCCTGAATGAACCAAAATTCAACAAAACTCAAAGTATCAGGCCGGCCTTATGCTCCGAGGAAAGTGGTGAATAACGGAAAATCTCATCTGAATAAACCGCGGGCTTGATGTTTTTGCAGCCTCCCGAAGTTCTTGCCCCCAATACATCCTGTGGACCTCTTCCTACGGTGTGCGTATGACGAAGAGCCGGCGGAAGCCTCAATGACAAGTGAACTGATGGATCTCAACTTGAACATACCAGTCTGTCTCCAGGGGCTTGTCAACTAGGTACCGGAAATTCATAAATGACTTCATCTGTTCGTTTGCCAATTGCTACTTGATAGTCTCCTGTAGTGCGCGCAAGCTGTTATTCTCAGCATTGCCAGCCCTACGACTGACCTTTGTGTGGGTTTCTATTTCATTGAGAGCCTGAATGTTCTCACATTCCTGTGTGTTCTCGAGCTACTCGGTGGTGTACGAGATTGTCAGACGGCCCTCCAATATCTACAGCAGTTGGTGAAGGGTCGCTTGTGAACCTGACCCTTCTCCGTCAAACCCTCCTTTCAAGCTTTCGAAGCGCGGTGTGATGGATTATGGCATGTCCAGATCCTAAGTAGACATCTTGTATTCCACCCATCCCCGGAGCTGCTTGCAGCTGACCACAGACTTCTGTACATCCCGTGTGCAGTCAGGTAGTCGCTTGCTTTAGGGCCGCAAGACTTGAATCACGACTTGGAGATAGCGCCCTAGCTCTACTTCCTTGGTTGAAGATCGAAACTATATTCTTTGGAAGAGTCCGAAAGCTTCTATCTTGCTAGTATCTGCCCATTCTCTACCAGAATCTGACGCAGCAACTCACCCCTATTCTCTTCAAAGTCAGACTGTCCATCTTTCATACACAAGTATGGCTTCATGACCATTAGCACTTCTCGAATCCACTGCTCGGCCCTGCTCTCATCAATCCTGCCCGCAGCAACCAAGCCGACGCTCAACCTCTTCCACCTGCTGTCCCTTGTCGACATCAAAAGCAGAGCACATCACTCCAAGAAGAATGTGCGATCGCACTCCAAAGTCCAAGTCTTTCATGTCGATTCCTTCTGTCTCCTTCATCATAACAGCCGCCAGAAACGCAACCTCCTCTTCGCTCCCTACCTCCGGCTCCCACCCTCTGCTGCGCCCCTGTTCACCCACCCCGCCGCCCGGCCACCCACACCAGCTGATCTTGCTCTCACGCGTCCCGTTCAAGTCTTGCTCAAGATACGGCATGTGGACAGTTTCTCATCGCTTACGCGAGTAGTGTCTTTCCCAAGCCTACATGTCAAAACGTCCCTGCGTGACGGAGATACCGAATTCGTTGTGGTTCCATGTCTCCTTCAATTGCTTTCCGGGGCATCCTATGTTCATGTAGTTGAGCCAGAAGCGAGCTTGAGTCTCCGAGTACGGCTGGACGCTTACATAGTCCTCTCGCAAGCGTGCGATGGTCTGCTCGAGAGTAGCTAGGGCTATCTGAGTGATGGTCTCGACGGGAAGGGATGGCTGACATCGATGGGTGCGCACAACGTTATGTGCCCACCGCGGAAGCTTGGTCAGGTGGCCATTTCCCTTGTGCCGTGGCTGCGCAAGAGGGTCACTTGAATCTGGTAGAACCTGCAAGTCGGGAAGCCGGTAGAAGCGAGCTGATATTAGCTGCGCGAGGAGAGCAAGTGAGTAGTACTTTCGCCAGACATTCCCATCGAGCAGCCCGTGGTGCTCTGCATAGAATCCGTCAAAGTCATCTGCCGTCGCGAACTCGCCCTCGCCCTTGTCTGAGGAGCGGTACATGGCGGCTGCTAGCGGAGCGAGATAATATATGTCTAGGGTTCTTTTCATCCTTAGCTCATCTTCTCAACCACATACTTTCTCGTAGTTAATGACCTTACCGGTTGAAGCTCAAGTCTCCGTGGCCAAATGACCAACCTCGGATGTGAAGTTGCTCTACAACATCGAACACGCCTCTGCCATCCCGTAATGCTTCATCCAGGTAAATGAATGCTATTCGCCAGGTTTAGAAGTGGCAGCCTGTGGTCAGGATAAGCATTTTGGTGATCCCATTTGGTAAGGAGGTGGTTTCTAATGCGATCTTGATCGGTACCTAGTGTCAGGCTCAAATGGTAAGGCCGTTGAGAAGCGGAATGAAATTGAAGGAGGCGACTTTCTGTTCTCGCGATTAATAAACAACACCAGCCGACATAGACGTCTCAAAAAACATTACTCCGGTGTCTGCGACATATCAGCTTATGAGGCACCTTGATACGGGGAAAGTGCGGCTCCCGGAACTTTGAAAGTTTGATGTGTTTTAGTGACTCGCACTGTTTAGGTAGGCTGCTTGGTAAATGAGGTTGATTCGGCCTGGAATAGATGGCCCAGGTGAATCTAGTCACCTGAAGTTTCATTGGCAAAGCCTCGCTTCATGTTTACAGAAGTCAAGCGATGTCTGCGGCTCGGACGCAATGAAGGTTGGCATCATAATGCCTTGTAAGCCTTTGTGCCGTTATGCTATTGTGTTTTGAACATAGTGAAAAAGAACTGTGATCTGCAATTAGCCGCTTTTTGGCTATGATCAATTCACCTCACCTCGCTGTCCTGGCACCCCGGTACTGGGCTCCGTGACATTACCTTATTAGGCATCTCGGAGGATGCGCTAGTCGGGTTAGTCTCTGGATGGAACAAGTACCAACGCTTTTGGGCTTCACACTGTTGCATTGTCGCGGCTGCTTGTGTCGGGTAAATTTGCAATCGCGAGTTTGCAAGACCTTCGGAACTGGGCCGGCAGTGGCGCTCGTCGATGGTCAGGAGACTTAAAACAGTCAAGAACCGAAGCCCACCACAATGTGAACGCCAAGGACCGAGTTCTCCCAACCAAAACTTGAAACTTAGCACAATGGGAAACACATCGGGTCTCCTCGTCTGTCTCACAATTCTCCGAGGAGCTCTTGGGGCGACCCTGATTGCCTCGCACTATAGCGGGCAACTCTACACACTGAACTTATCGTCAACAAACCAACTCACTATTGCGAGTACAGTCAGCTCTGGGAACCGCATGCCAGCATGGCTTGACTTTGACTCCGCGTCGAACATTGTCTATATCCCGGATGAAGTACAATGGGGCCAGCCACTTCTGAAAAGCTTCTCTGTCGCAGGCGATGGAAGTTTAATATCGAAGGCGCAAGTTCAGACAGCCGGAGGCGAGCTTCATAGTACGCTCTATGGATCTGGCAATGGCTACATCGCAACAGCACAGTAGTATGATTACTAGATCATTTCTCATGAGACATACCCTGGACTAACTATGTTGTAGCGATGCATCGACAATATCTACCTATGGACTCCCGTTGGGCGGTACAGGTCAACCCCTACAGAAACTGACATTCAACATGTCTCAACCAGGGCCAGTGCCATCTCGACAGGATAGACCTCACCCTCACTCTGTCTTCACAGATCCCAGCGAAAAATATCTTCTTTCTGCGGACTTGGGAGCCGATTTTATCCGTGTCTTCAGCATCGGATCGTCAGGCATTCTGACTCAATGTCCCTCTTTCTCGACTGGACCCGGAGACGGACCTCGCCATGGAGCGTTTAGAACACAAGGCAATACGACATTCCTGTTCACCGTCAATGAGTTATCCAACTCTGTGACGTCTTGGTCGGTTACTTACCCGGCAACCGGTTGCCTTGTTCTTGCGAAGAAGCAGACCCTGTCGACATTTCCTCCCGGAAAGGCTGCGCCAGTTGGTTCGAAGGCAGCCGAAGTTCACATCAGAGATAACTTTGTGTACACCTCGAACAGGAATGATCAATCTTTCGGAACACAACAAGATTCCATCACGGCCTACGCAATCGACCCTTCGACAGGCCTGATCACATATCTTGAGACAACAAGTGCTTATTCATTCTTCCCTCGAACCTTCGCAATCAACAATGCCGGAACTATGGTGGCTATCGGTGGACAGACAAGTGCCAACGTTGTGGTTGTGGAAAGAAACGCCACTTCGGGTAGACTGGGGAAGCTTCTTGCAACTCTCAAGGTCGGCAATCCAGGGACTGTGAATCAAGAGGATGGACTCAGCGCTGTCATCTGGAACGAGTGAGCCTCGCGTCATGAAGAGAGATCGACGGACACAACGATGTCATTCCGTTCATTACATGTATTATCATGAGATCTAAGAATCTAGTATCCTCATCCAATATCATCATAAGTGGTATCTCCAAGTTCAAGTCGCTTCTTCAAAAACGCTTCAATCATTTCGCTTTACAAAGTCGGTTCGCGTAGTCAACAACACTCCAATCTTCACTGCCCGGTGTAGACCAAGAGAAGAACACGCCGTTGGGGTCCCACTTCTTCTTGATTGACGCTAGCTTAGGGTAGATCGGGCCCCAAAAGGCGTCTTGCCAGTTCTTCATGAAGGCATAGTTCTGTCCACGCACATTAGTACTTGTTGTATTATGTAGAACAGGGGGATGACTAGCTTACCTCATTCACGTATGCAAGGCCATTAGGACCAGCCTGCTTGAACTTTTCGGTGATGGTGTTGACCATCAGATCATTGAGAGCCAGCTTCGTGGCCCAGGTGGCATCCAGAGCCTGCGGCAGGATAGCCATGGTTCGCATGGTCGCGCCTCTCCACTTGGGGTGTGTTGCGCTTTCGGACTTCTTCTCATTACTTCCCGGATCGAAAAAGTGGCTGATAACGATGCCGAACTGGTTCGGGGCCGGTGCTAGCGCAAGTTGAATGGCCTCAGCGATGGCCGGCTGGTTGCTCGCCATGTCGTCGTGGGTAAAGACCCAGCCACCCGTCAGACCGTTCTGGGCCGCGCGCTCGGGTTCGAAGATGTCGTGGAAGAGAGTGTAGTAGTTGGGATACTCTTTGACTCCAAAGTCGTACGGGATCTTTTCGGTATCGAGGTACGTGAGAAGCGGCTGAACGACAGCTGTGAGCTGCTTGGCAGTCTTGTTCATTCCCATGATTGGCTGCACGTGCAGTGCTGGTCCGATAGCTGGCGGGTATAGCTCATAGATGCCGTAGAGTCCGTTGTCAACCATTTGGTTTCCGAGCGCGTTGAGCTTGTTGACAGCCTTGGTGACTTGGTCGAAGTTGGCGCCAGTAGTAGCGTTGACGTTCAAGAAGAGCGCTGCTTCGGGAATGGTGTCGGGGTATGTCTTGACAGTGACGGATAAGACAACCGCGTAGTTTCCCGGGCCGCCTCCCCTGAGAGCATAGTATAGATCAGAGTTCAAGTTGACGTTGGCTGTGACAAAGTCTCCGGCTGCGGTGAGGACTTCAAAGGAGAGCGCCTGGTCCGCGCCGAAGCCATAGTTGCCGCTCAAGGGACCGTGACCACCACCTCCCATGAAACCACCCGCAACTCCCACAGTCTTGAGAATCGTTAGTGAAATAAAGGAAGATGGCTTGTTCCAGGCTTACCTCGCATTCGCCGGTAACTACATTCTGGGGTGGGTTTCTGGCATGAGCTGCGTTCGAGATCTCGTAGCCTTGAACTCCGGCACCGATAGTCATGGCAGGCCCCTTGTAATCTCCGGGGCCTTTGTATGAATCAACGAAGGAGATGTCCTTGAAGTTGTGAGTGTTGATAGCCAAGGATCCAGCACCAGCACTTCTTCCCTCAAAATCGTGGCCCGTGTTGCGGATGACGAGGCGCAAGTTGTTCGACTTTGCAAAGTCCACGCCAGCCTTAACCTGAGCTTTCGTCTTGGCGATGATGACGAACTCAGGGTAGTTGCCGAGAGCGCAAGTCTTTGTGGGATCTGTGGTCAGTTCGCAAGTGTTGTTGCTTCCCCACGTCCACAGCTGCGATGCAGGTTGAGAGATTCTGATAGTTCGCCATTAGTTCTGGGCTTGACCCTCGACAGCTCTGCGTCATAGATGAGACTCACTGCCATCTCTCATCCGTCCACTTTGCAGTGGCCTCGGCGCACTTGGCAGCATCGTAAGTCGCGATGCCACGATACGTGTTGTAGCAGACTGCAGCAGGCGGGATATGCTGAAGGAGAGCTCCTCCCACGGTCTTGTTCAGTTTACTCCAAGCATCGGCCTTGGGCCAGCAAATGTCGGCAGGAGAACATCTGCACTCGTACTTTTTCCCATTCTCTTCGTACGCGACGAGCTTGGGCGTTGAAATCGCACTGACAACCCAAGAAAGGCACGCCAGAAGCAAAACGTTGGCCATCGAAGTCCGGGTCATCTTGCTGGAAGACTTCTGCGGTTCCGTCCGATCGTAGTCGTCGTTGCTGTTGCTGCTGTCGACTAATGGTCGCTGGCCTGCTTCGAAAGCAAGCTGCTCCAAGGTCGTGCTCCTCTTGGACATTTTGTATTCGGATTCGAGCTTGACACTAATTTACTCGGTGTGGTCGCCGAGACGCAAGACACCGGCGCGAAGCTCTCTCCCTCGCTGTGTGAGAGGCGAATATCACCTAGCTGCATGGCCTGCGTTGTACTGCAGCGAAGCTAGTTGTTAGTCTCGTGGGAGGGAGGATCGGTAGTGAGATCTAAGTTGTTTCTCCGAGTGAAAGACAGAGTAAAGAAGGCCCATCCCCGAACCTCAAGTTCTCAAGTTCTCAGTAGCCGAGCAGTCAAACGGGTGGTGGGGAAGGGTAAGGTGTCAGCAGGGGAGGGGGGGGGGGTCTTGGTATTAGCCGCCATCTGATTGCTGTGTCAGCCACATCGGCGGCACGGGAGACTCAAAGGAGGAAGAAAAGCGTCGCGACAAGTGAATCGAAGCGATAACTGAGTGTGGATAGCTAGCACGTATAGTAGCATCGACGG